TATATATTTTTTATTAATTTTTTTTTTCCCCGGAATTTTCAGAAAAGTCCACTTTCATCTCTGGTAAACAGTAGCAGTTTGGCGGTATAGAAAACGTGCCGCTAATTAGAGTAAATGGTGCCACAACAAGAGGAGGCAAAAGAAGGGGTCAGTATTCTACAAGCTGCCAAAAGAAGAACCAAGGCATAGCCGATGGATAGCAAAAATAAACTAGCGATCACACTGTTGAGTGACAGGTTTACTCTACAAATCATGGCAAAAGGTGGCTGAATCAGCAGATGCTAACATACCCAAAATAATAGCCCAAGCTAGCTTCCCACCACACACAAAATTTGCGGGAAATAGTCTGTTTAATTTATGCCATAAACAATTCTTGTTTCTGTTGCTATGGTTTCATAGATAATACAGTGTTAAATTTGATAATTGATCAATACTTCCTCTGGGATAAATGATTGCGGTGGCTGCCGCCGAATCTGCAGATTCTAGCATAGCTGATAACAGTGCAAGGGCAGCGTGAAGCCTAGATAGTAATATTGACCACACATTAAGGGGAAAAACAAATCCAGATGTCACAACTTGTAATTTTAGATCCGGCCACGGCAGGGAATCGAGGAAACCACCACCATGGCAGTGTTTTTTGGTGAGGAATTCCTATTTTAACATGGCGAAAAGCTGTATAAAGTTGATTTAGCGTGATGTGTCCTCTCTAAAGGGAGAGATTGCAGTTTTAAAATTGCAACCTCATTTCACTTGACTAAGATGTCCCCTCATCGAGTCTCTGACACAAGCCACAGGGTCCTCACTTTTGTGCACAAGAGGAGCACTGTCTTGTGTGCTCCAAACAAGCCTACATTAGCCCTGTCTGTTACTATGCTAGCATTACTTATTCAAAATAGCGTTACGATAACACTACTCATTATCGGTTTCAGGTTTTGTTTTTTTTTTTTGTAGATTGTGGTCCAGCTTTTCATTATGAGCCTGAGTATCGGGACAGATTTGTCTCAAAATGATTCACTCAACTATATTTGTTTTCTTTCACGTGTTTTTGAGATCCACAAATATGTCAGTGATTTTCAAGTTTTTGAGATCCGCAAATGCTGTATATGCGCGATATTGACATGTTTTTTGAAATCCACAAATATACGTGCGATTTTCATGTTTTTCAAGTCCACAAATATTTGCACAATTTACATGTTAATGTTGTATGAGCATTTATCATGACTTGTCCTTTGTAAATATTCAGTTCCACTTGTGAATTGTTGAATGTGCGTTTGTGGATCAGCGTGCATGCTCGTTGATTTTGAAACAAACGTTTTACACAGTTTTAAGGTACTCAGACACACACACACACACACACACACAACAGTTGAAAATATTTGCATGTGTTGAAACGCTATTCCTTCTCCATCCGCCAGAAGGCAGTGTTGCTGTTTCCAGTGAGCCGGAATGAGGCATCGCCTGTATCGCTTCTATAAATTGGAAATTGAAACACGGAAAACATGCTTTTATCTGGGTCCGTGTACCGCCGTTCATGCTAATTTTAATTCTGAAAAGCAACTAAAAATGAACATTTGGGGTGATATTTTCAATTTTCGTTTTTAAAACAAAAATAGGACAACTAATGACCTTAGAAAAAAATCAAAATATGGAGTTTTCTGGAAAGGGCTTGAATTTCTGGATTTCCATTTTCAATGTTGAATTTTTATGGTTTTCAGTCTACGCATTGCAGGAAGCACAGGATAGTGCCATCGACTGTCGTCAGCGGGGTCTAAGTGAAGTAAACAATTCATTGTGTACAATGGACTCGAGTTACATCCTTCTTAAAGGAAACAAAAGGCTGGCGCTCAAGGGATGCAATGTGATTGTGGATAAAATTGCCAGAATCTTCCAGGTATGTACCACTTTATTTTCTCCATTGGCTTGGAGTACATGCTAAAATGAGCAGTTGCTGTTGTATTCCAAAGGGTGTGGGTGTGTGTGTGTGTGTCTGTGTGTGGGGGTGGGGCGGGGGGGGGGTGGG